AAACCCTTTTTCCTTTCCTTTATTGGATTTGTTGTGGCTTGGGTTTTTTGAGTCTAGCCCATTTCATTTAATTAAAAATGTATCATTTGATGATATAGGATTAATTTAAATTATTTTAGTATAATATATTAAAAATTTTTAGATGATATTTTAGGGTCAGAAAAAAAAACAAAAAGCTATAAAATTAATAATAATAGCAGGAAAATATAGTGTGTTAAATATGTTTAACGATAAAAAGAACTTAAACTTAGAAGAATATTTATTTATATAAAAAATATAAGATATATATAAATAGGAAGTGAACATTTGGATAAAATATAATCATGGCGATAGATTTAGTTAAGATAAAAATATTAAAAAATAATAATAAAAATATTTAGTAAAAAGTCAAAATAAAATAAAGTAAAAAGAGACTTAAATAGAAAATATCTATTCAAAAAAAAATAGAATAGACTTTTATAAATGAAAAGGAAATAGAAGAGAAAGAAAATATGTATGTTTAATCATAAATAAAATAAGTAGAAATAAAATACTTAGGAATACAAATTTATATATATATAAGTATATGTAGTATAAAATTATAAATATAAAAATATAATGATTGTTTTAAGATCCATACCGATAATGAAATGTTTATTTGGAATGCGAGAAGTTGCAATTCCAAATAAACTTTTCTAGGTTCAGGATTTCGATTAAAACCTCACTAGTACGATGAGCATGTTTTAATTTCGAGTCTCGGTGTTTATTGATTCTAAGCAAATGAAAAACCTTTTAACTTAATCAAATAAAAGCATATAAACAAAAAGAAACAATGAAATAATTAAAATGATGAATATAATAATAATAAATACAAAAGGGAATAAATGAAAGGTTTAGTCTTAAAATATATAAGACTATGGAAAAAATGATAATATTCTTAATGATGAATAAATAGTTAAAAAAATAAAATTTTGGAAGATAGTAAACTCATAATAATGATGAAATATAACTAAAATATAGAAAGCAAATGTATATAATCATAAAAAATAGATTTATAAAAAAATAAAAAAATTTGAATTATAAGAAGTATAGGCATAAATAATAATAATTCTAAAATAAAATATTGGATGAAAGAAATAGCCTTCACGTACAAGGGAGTTACTGGATATTTAAGAACGAATATTGAAATTATTTAGGCACGTTGCACATCATCACTGCACTATAAATGCCATAACGTGTAAACATATTCTATACACGAGTATAAGCCCCGATGATAAGACTTTCTGAAGAATCTTGCGAAGGTGAGTTTCTTTGAAAAATTTTCTAAGTGAAAAGATACCTTCGAGTTCCACCAGTATAATGGGAGAGCCTGAACAATATCTTTAATAAAAGACTTCTGCTCGTAATAGGTTCGCATTCACAAAAATATTATTTTTAAAATACGTAAATGATTACTCCGATGATGAGATTTATTCGTTAAACTTGCGAAAACGAGTTTTTTGAATAATTCCATAAGTAAGAGAATATCTCCGGATCCAACCAATATGATGGGCTAATCCGAAAAATATCCTCAATAAAAGGTTTTTGTCCAACATTATTTAGATTTTATACCATATATTTTATAATTGCATCATGTGCACATCACACTTGTAAAACTAAATAAAATATTTTAATTTGTTATTAAAATAAAAGATAATATAAATAAATAATAATTAAGGGAACACAATGAAATAAATTTAAGGATTAACGCTCCAATGTGATGACCTATAATTACGTGATACCGTTCGTGAAATAAGCATCACATGATGCTAATCTTTTTTCGTGTGTAACCGTACTATTGAACCCAACTCTTAAAATAACAAATTAGTTCAATTTAGGACCTCGTCGATTAGGATAAAGTCAATAGGTGACCAATCTCACCTAGATAAAAAAAAAGATTGATTGCGACTCTTAAGCTTTTTACATCGAATGGTCGGATTCCCAGATCCGTACGTTACGACAAGATTAGTTGTAATCTGTTGATCTTAAGTTCCCTATAGTTTATGAATTTTCATTTTGCATTACACAACATTACCACCTATATTTTGGTATTAAACAACATAAATTCAATAATTGACTAGTAAGGAATATGTAAATTCAATAATTGACTAGTAAGGAATATGTAAACATTTAATTGAATCATACTCTTGGACTGCAAGTGCTTTGAGATTTCAGATTTCAGAGCATGGTTGTTTTTAATTTTAATATTAAAATTAAACATTTAATTTAATAGTTGGCTCTTGTCATATTCTTCTTTCTCTTTATATTCTCGGGAGGTTTGATAGATAAAAAGCAGCATGCTTGGTGAAGTCATTTTCATTGGAAAAAACAAAAGTAAAGGTCGTGTAATTGTGAAGGAAGATGTTGATCCAAACCAAAACGAGTAAATGTAGATTCAAATTCCATTGAAGAAAAGATTGCAAGAGGGAGGCCGCCACCTTTGTTCTAAATTAATTATTACTACAAGACAAACTTAAATAAGAACTATTAGACAAGAATTTTGCATGACAGATCGTTTTGGAACTTGTGCCATCTGTCACCTTATGATTGGGAGCACGTGTCCCTGGCCCCCACCTGATATGAGAGCGTGTGCGTCTGCGTGTGGGATTCCACTCAAACTTTTGCGCTATTAAACCCATTGTAGCCACTGTTACATTGCTCATCTACGCACTATGCTTGATTCAGTCAGGTTTGACACGTGGAATAATACTATTTGATAGAGGTTTAGACCCGGTTAAAAGGAGCCACGCATTTCCAATGGCCAGGGTGTCCAAATACTAATTGATCCTGATTTTGCTTGTTGTGAAAGGGAAAATTGTTGTGCTGTTATTTCAATGATTTTATTACTCATAAATATTAAATATTTATAAATTTATTATTTATTACTCTTTGTATGTCATTTTGTGAGAGATTGAGTTGAATTGTATGAGTATTGAATAAATTAATCCAAAATTGCAATAAATACAAGAGTTTTTTTTTTCCACTGTCAATTTAAAATAGTTTTGAATTGAGTTTAAAAAACTACTTTTTGATGAAGGGTACATTGAATAATAGAGTTATATTTAAAGATGTTCATAGGTAGGGCATTTGTTATTTTAGATATATCTCATTTTAAATTTTAATTGACAGGGTATTAGAATTTTATAAATATTTGATTAAATTTTAAAATTATTACTCAATATTTTAAATTTATCCATTAAATATTTAATTAAAATAAATTTAAAATCATTTTTTTTGAATATTATTAATAAAAATTAAAACTTAATAAATTAAAGTTAATACGTAAAAGTAAATTAAAATTTAAAATTATGTTTAAAATAATTAATAAATTTTAGTACGTATTACATTTATTATAAAAAATTTATATATATATATACTAAAATTTAATATTAAAGAATTATTATTTATAATCATGTTTGGGTAATGGGTAACTTAAGACCACTACCCAAACACTACCGAGCTTATGATTTATGATAGTTTTACTACTCGAATGTTATCACAAATTGATTATAGAATATCTTAATTTCATGTAATCAAGTTGAGTAATATAAAATACTCAATTACAAGATATTCATTGACATCCTTAATTTACTAATAACCCTTTTTCGCAAATAGCAATATTTGGAGCATTTGGACTATAAAATATATGTTATCAAAAACTTATATCAATGGGAGCATAAGAAACCTTTAGCTTAATTGCTGGTAGTAATCTTAAGCTTCATTAGTACTTTTTAATGTGAATAAAGTAATAAAAAATCACTTAATTTGTTTAGATATATAGTCGTGGTTTTTCCATTAAAAGGGAAAATAGTTAGTGCTCATTCTTTACTCAAATATTGACATGTTTCAAAGATGCTTGTGTCCAATTTAATAAAGAACAAAACCCAACAAGCCAAAATCTTTCTGTTATATGGAGGAATATAAAGAACGTTAATATTCTAACTTAAAATTTATACTTAAACTGCATTTCCCTTATCAATCACATATTAGTTTAATTTGGAAGATTGTTTGTTTGAGTAGTAAATAATTATCAGAATGTTTAAATTTTTTTTTGAATTATTTAAAAAAAATTCAAAAAAAAATCTTTATTCTTTTGTTACATTTAATCAAATTCTTATATTTTTATTTTAGACCAATTAAGCTTTTATAATTAATGGCTGACTAATTGATATTAATTAAAATGTAACTTGTCATTTTATATCCAGGTAACACTAATAGGAAAAGTGAAAAAATCATATAGTTATTTTATTATCTACTATAGCATGTTAGCGTGCAACGTCAACGTTGCATAGTATAAAAAATAACAAGTAACATTTTAACTATGACACTTAATCAAGCATTAGATATAAAAGTCCACTTGATTTAAATAAGATAAAAAATATAAGAACTTGATTGAATGTAAAAAAAAATCAATGACTTATTTTAATTTTTTTTAAATAGTTGAAAGACTTTTTTAATTGTCATGCCTAAATAATTTTAAGTGAAATTTTATTAGTGATTTATTTTTTATATTATTTAATAAAAAATGATTTTCAATATTTTTTTTAACTTAAGATTTAAAATAATCCATTTATTTTTAAATTTATTCAAAAAATAAAAAATTTTGCATTCTATGTTTATCACTTTAGCCAAGCCCCCCACTATGTTAGCATCATGAAACTTAATATTAAGTAGGGAACAAGGAGGTGGAGTTGCAACATGGCCTAATTTTTTGTCACAAAAATAAATAAATAAAAAAAAGAATTTGTGAATTAAGCTATGCAATGAGTTATGATATCGTTTTAAACAAAATGTGATTATAAAAAGTTAGATAAAGTAGACATCAATAGAAAAACATCCAAGTAATGATAATATCTCAATATGAGTGGTTTTAAATCAAACATGGAAAGCAAAAAAAAAAAAAAACCAAAGGGTATTAAGGATTCTAAGTATTCACACACAAAAATAATAAAAAGAGTTTAAGGAGAAGAGAAAAAATGGGTGGCAAGAGAGCACACGCGCAAGGCTTGAGGGAGGAGATAATAAATAGGGGAAGGGAAGAGGGAGAAAGAAAGGGTGAGAGATGGTAGTGCCACGTGGGACACTACCTGGCGTACAGCCTTGGCATCATTCCAAAATTCCCCCATTTTTCCCCCTTTGCCTATGGCGCTCCTCTTCCTCCTTTTCCACCATCACCTTCACCTTCACCATCACCATCACCATCACCATCGCCATCACCAATCTCTTGTTTCCCCAATCTCTCTCTCTTTAGATCAACCCCATATTATCATTATTCGTCCTTTGATCGAAAGCTAGCCTCACCCAATCAAGCAGAGAGAGAAACCAGAAATAAAGTTTCAATCTTTTTTTTTTTTACGAGCCCCATTTTTCAGGTACTTTTTTTTTCCCCTTTTTTAGCTTTGGATTTAATTTATTTCTGACTAAAGCTGATTTAGGTTTCTTTTATTGAATCCGGGAACTGCTAAATTTGGACGCTTTGCTGGGTTTTGTTTCAGCTGTTGTTCATGAATTTAGCTGAGTGGTAGCTTTTTTGTTTGCTTAGTTGGATTCAATTTAGGTTCTTTTCCCTTGGCTTTCTGGGTGTCTGAAAATTTGGGAGATTTGATGATTTCTGGTACTCTTCTTGAGTTACCGGATGGAGAATCAATCCGTTTCTGGTGTTAAAATTAGTGAGCTTGTATATTGGTTTCCATTTTGGTTAGAATTATGGACACTTTTGAATTACATGGTGTGAGTTGAAACCTTCCCATGTGTAATAAAGAAATAGTTGATCACCAACAGCTGCATAATAATCAAGCTGTGTATTTGATGGATTCACCTTCATCAACCCCAGCATCTGCTCCAGCCTCCACCCCTAGTTCCAATGACGAAACTCCACGTGTAAAATTCTTGTGTAGCTTCTTAGGTAGCATTTTGCCTCGACCCCAAGATGGGAAATTGAGGTATGTTGGGGGAGAAACGCGGATTGTGAGCGTGCCAAGAGATATTAGTTATGAGGAGTTGATGACTAAGATGAGGGAGCTTTATGATGGAGCAGCGGTGTTAAAGTATCAGCAGCCTGATGAGGATCTTGATGCTTTAGTGTCTGTTGTGAACGATGATGATGTTATTAACATGATGGAAGAGTATGAGAAGTTGGATTCAGGCGATGGGTTCACTAGGCTTAGGATTTTTTTGTTTTCGCATCCTGACCAAGATGGTTCATCACACTTTGTTGACGGGGATGAGAGGGAGACTGAGAGGAGGTATGTCGATGCTTTGAATAGTTTAAATGAGGGTTCTGATTTTAGGAAGTGTGACTCTCCTGTGATGATTCCAGTAGCCGATGATATTCACTTAGCAGCAGAACAATTTTTTAATAGTATGAGTATTGATGGTGGCCTTCATAGTCAGAGGAGTGGTGAGATGTCGATGCCGCCATATAACTTACATCATCTTACCATTCCTCACGTGGGGTCTGGGCAACTCCAGCAGCCAGTACCTCAGAGGTACAATGAAATGGAAGGTCCATGGAGTCCTGCTTATTATTCTCCTAGGCACCATGGACACCATGATCCAAGAATGCTATCAGAGTTTCCACCTTCACCATCTTCTGCTCGCTACCGTGTACCATTTCCAGAGTTACCAGACAAATCCTTGGATAGAATGCCTGAAGAATATGTGAGGCAGCAATTAAATCATCATCCCCAATACGAACACCAGCCACAATTTTCGGATAATGTAGTATGGATGCCACCTGGAGCTATTTCTGGTGATAAAGCTGGTGGTTTTCCTGGTAACATACTTCATGGTCATGGTGTTTATGAAGGGAACCACATCTGCGAGCACTGCAGGGCTACATTCAGCAGAAATCAACCACCACATTTGGAGCATCCCAACATGGGAAATGGAGTTCCCCAGGTTAATAATCCATGTGCTGAATGCCCCCCAAATCGGGAGGCTTTCTTGCTGAATGCAGATGGAAAATTGCATCATGGGTTTTATTCCAAAGATCAAAGTGATCCCCGTTCTGCTTATGGTGAAACAAACAGTCATGAAAGAGGATGGGTTCTGCAGCACCAACTGAACCCTCGTGTTGAGGAAGCAAGAAATCATGTACCTGGAGCTGGAAGATTGAATGACCACTATGTTGTAGATGGTCCTGGCATGAGTTTACCTCTTGGGCATGCTAGTTTAGCTGATGGCCTTCATCTGCCCTCAAATTATGTTCATCACAGAGCTGGACCTGAATTGGGGAATGAAGTCTTTCATGATCAAGCTGTGGCTGCTTCATCCCACCTGCACATTCCTCCTGAAGAACGTGGGGTTCGATATGGGAATTATCCTTACCCATATGGAGGAGATAATGTTTACCCAGCGCCACATGGACATGTACACACACAGTCTTTAAGGAGAAATGTTCAGAACCCAATTCATGGTGCTCCTGCTTATGAAGCATCTGTCTTGCCCCAGCAAGTAAATGGTACAGTTAACTCAGCATTTGTGAAGGGTCCGGTGGAAGCTACTGCAAGGCTTTGTCTAGGAACAGATAATCAAAATCCTTGGGTTGAGTCGTCACCAAAGATGCTGGGTTTTGATGGGACTGCTGTTTCAGACAATGCTTATGCTCATCCTCTCAAGATGAACGCTGGTCCTCATGGTCAGGAAACTCGACACTCTGTCACTATAGAACCAGTTCAATCCCCACAAGATATGCTCAACTTGGCCACTTCTACAGAACCTTTGCAGTTGTCAGATCAATCTTCAACTTTAATTCTTGATAAATCTGTTTCTGGTAACAATCCAACGTCACGAGATGATTCTAATGCCATTGGAGCATTGAGGATTGAGGAGAAAATTGTTCCAATAGCAGATAAAGAAGCAAATTATGCTGCAAAGATTGAAAAGTCTAATGTTCCCAGTATGTGCTGTCCAGAGCAAAACAAAATTACTGAAAATGAATCTAAAACACCATTCCTTGATGCTAGCATTTCAAATTGCTTAAAACTTGCTGAAAAGTGTGGTGACCAGTCAAAAGCTGGTGGAAAAGATCCTAGTGCTGCTGAAAATTCAAAGCTATCTGTAAACCGTCTGAGTTTCATACCAGAGTTTGTTGCTTCGGTTAAAAGAGCAGCTTTAGAAGAGGTTGAAGAAGTTAAAGCAAAAGCTGAAGATGGTGACTCCGTGACGCATGATGCAGTTGAAAAGGAAGCGGCTGCACATGAATCTGAATCGGTGGTGAGATTGAAGAAGATTTTCTTTATTGAAGAACATCTTGTAATGTTATATTTTTCTCCTTCTAATATCTGTTTGCACTCTAGAATGCCCAAGGCGAGTTGGAATTGGATTCTGATAATGACAACATAGCCTCTTCCAAAATTGAGCCAACAAAGGCTGAAGCAGAAGCTATTGCAAGAGGCTTACAGGTAATTGTTTTTTTCTTTTTACCCTTGTAATTAACTTTATTTTTTTTCTCATTATTATTTCTTCTTGACCATTAAATTTTTTTTACTTTTTTTACACATGTTTTGTCACCATTTTGGTTCTGCTGGTACTTGCATTGTACTTGCAGACAATAAAAAATGATGATCTAGAGGAGATCCGAGAATTAGGCTCTGGAACATATGGGGCTGTTTATCATGGCAAATGGAAAGGTTCTGATGTAGCAATCAAGAGAATTAAAGCCAGCTGCTTTGCGGGAAGGCCTTCTGAAAGAGAACGTTTGGTAATAATTAGTATATCTTTGTGTTTTTCTTTCACACCTTGTCTTCAGGTTTTATCCCTTTGAAGTTAATACCTGTGCGTGGTGGCAGTTAAAGCAAGGATATTTGTGGGACATAGTTCAATTGTTGGTTTTTATTAAGTTCCTCTTTAAGGATTCTATTTTCAAGAGCTTTTATGATGAATTATTTGTAACATTTGCTGAAATGATCTTATTTATATCATATTTTTATTCTTTTCATCAAATTGATCAATAGAATCTCTTTCTTTTTGCTGCCATAGATTGCGGATTTCTGGAAAGAAGCTTTAATATTGAGTTCATTACATCATCCAAACGTTGTTTCTTTCTATGGTATAGTACGTGATGGCCCTGATGGATCCTTAGCTACTGTTACAGAATTCATGGTTAATGGATCCTTGAAGCAGTTTTTACAGAAGAAGGACAGGTAACCATGTTGGTAGCTATGTGGTCAGGTTGCCTTTTGAGCATCTTTATTGCAATTTGTTCTAAACATTGTTGTTGTTTGCCCAAGAATACACCTTTTTTTGTTTATAGTAGTAAACAAGTCAGAATGTAATATATTCTTTAAGTAATATGTGTGATATAATACTGTTATTGAGCAGGACTATTGATCGTCGTAAGAGACTCATCATAGCAATGGATGCTGCATTTGGAATGGAGTATTTGCATGGAAAGAACATTGTACATTTTGATTTGAAATGTGAAAATCTGTTGGTAAATATGAGAGATCCACAGCGTCCGGTGTGCAAGGTATTCTGTCTTATAAATTGTTTCTGGAACCCAAACTTTAAGTTGGGTTAGGTTTGGTTGTATAGAATATTTGTTCTTGTTTATTTATTTCTTTTGTTCTGCAAAACTTATATGTTCTTCCCAAAGTTTCTTGAAAATTCTGGATGTTATTGTCAGCTTCCTGTGATTTCTTTAACAGTGGAATTTTGGTAAAAGTTTCAGCCTGAGATAATTTCTTCAGCATAGGCTCTTCTCACCTTGGTCTTCAAATGTTACATATATATTATAAATTTTCTTTCAAGCACAGTAGTGTTAGTTTTCTTCTGATGGTCAATGGAGTTGGAACTCATACAGTGCATGCATACCCTTTTAGATTGGCGATTTGGGCTTGTCAAAGGTCAGACAACATACATTAGTGTCAGGAGGTGTTCGTGGAACTCTACCCTGGATGGCACCTGAGCTTTTGAGTGGTAAAAGTAACATGGTAACTGAAAAGGTATATTATATATAGACTACAGAAAATCTGTGAACAGACACGGCTGTTTTCAACATGAGTGTTTGTTTCCTTTGCTTTTTAGGACATATTATTTGACAAATATATTAATGTTTCACCCATTTCTGTGCTTCAGATTGATGTCTACTCTTTTGGGATTGTTATGTGGGAGTTATTGACTGGTGAAGAACCTTATGCAGATATGCATTGTGCTTCTATAATTGGTAAGTGCCATAAATCTTAGTATCTTGTTGTTGTGAGTGATTTGCTACAGTCTTCTGTACATTCTGCACAATCTATGTTACTTCAACTCTTCACTTTATTGTGACACATAGTCCAGTACACATATTGGACATGTCCATCAACTTATGCAGTTGGCTGTGAGGAAACTCTTACGCAAAGTCGAACATTCCTTTGTTGGATGTGGGTATATGCCTGACACTCCTAACCATGGCCAAGCACTATGGCAATGATTATTTCTTGCGTAATTGTTAACTAGGTTTTCTTTGGATTTCTCTCGTGTTTACAGTTTAATTTTGTTTATCAACTTTTTGTTTGATAGCTGTGAAAAGGGGAGGAAAAATAAAGAAAAACATTTTGGAGAGATGTTTATGTTATCTTGTATCTGAAAAACTATAATCGACATACTGGTGGCATATATATGACATATTTGTCTCATATCAGAGATAACAAAATTATTCTTCTTTACATGTTGGCATATCTGGCCTGATTAGATATATATTCTGCCTTCTTGGAGGCATATAACTTTGGATTGGATACTAATATAGATTGGATATAGATTGCCATGTAGGCATCATTTTAGTTTATGTTTGAGGGAAGGGGAATTTGTGCAATTTCTTGAAACATTCAGAAGTTGATCTCTTAGTAAAGCATCAGTTTCTGTGAGGATATGCCAATGTCACCTTGTACGCTGTGCAGCTTTAATGTTCTGTTATTTCAGATTATCTAAGTTTTTGGTTACTTTGATATTTTATGTGACGTTCATTTCTTGAGTTCTATGCGTGGATAACATCCATATTTGCACACTTCACATGCATGCAGAGAAAGAAAAGGGGAAGGGTCTTTGGGGTGTGGGGGTAGCTATGCAAAGTATGGGAAGAGGAGATTCCTTATGAGGGCATCTGAATCCCTTGTTGATTCTGAGTTTTTCTTGCTGTCTTTGCCTTTAGGCTTAAGGTCAAAGCTACCTTGTTCTGTTCTTCAATAGTAATTGCTTTAGTATATTCTTGTATAATCAATGCTATCCCTGATTTGCTGCTTTTGGACCTTGAAACTTTTGGTTTATTATCATGTTGAACTTATTTTTAATCTTTAGGTGCTGTTTTTCGATTCCCTTTTAATACAGTACAGGAGAAAGAGGGTAAGGAGAGAAGAGAGGGGAAAAATAATAGAAAGCGGAAGGCAGAGAGAAAGTGGGAGAAACTAGAGGGGAAGAGACCGCTTTGAATGTCTATTTATGGGAAACTTTTTGAAACAATGTGTTAATAAGCATTTCTAATGCAACCATAGCCATCCTTCTAACAAATAGGGGAAGTCCCATTGATTACCCTAAACATAAATGAAACCCTAAAAATGCCTTAAGGGTGATCCTCCAATATTGATTTGTAAAAGCAATGGCCCTTATCGGAATTGTCATGTCTTTGTTAGGGACAAAGTTTTAAATTTTAACAATTTAGTTGTTCAGGCATGGTTTGCAATGTTAACACTATTCTGTAAATCTGGCAAATTTTCTGATGTATTATGCACATATGCTCTAAGAGGTTAAACAATGAAAATTGTTCTTAAGTAGGAGTGTTTTCATTTCCATTGAATTAAAGATGCCAAGAAATTTTAGCTTCAATATCAGTCTTTTACTGTTCATTTGAGGATCTGTCGTACTGATCAATCAGCAATTACTTTCTATAAGAGGAGAAAAAAGTGACTACTGTTATTTTTGTTTTCTTTTGTTTGTAGGTCTGCGTTTGATGCAGTTCCTTGATAAGAAGAATTTAGTATTGACCTATGAATGGATCTCTAGTTGTGAATGTTTCTGAAAATAACTACTAAGTTGGTGGTTATTTGAAATGAAAGGGAAATCAATAGTCAGATGAATGAGTCTGGACTTCTAACTCTCTTTAATAAAGTTGGAGGGATCTTTTTTCCATTTAAGCAACCTATTTCTTTAGTATGCATGTTTTTGGAAATCACATTCAGATAATATTTTTAGATGCGAACTTGGCCTGTTAATGAAATTTGACTTGATCTCTTCCAACATTTTCTTCTTTTATCATGCAGGGGGGATTGTAAACAACACATTACGTCCAAAAATACCATCATGGTGTGATCCTGAATGGAAGGCTTTGATGGAAAAGAGTTGGGCCTCTGATCCAGCAGAGAGGCCTTCATTTTCAGAAATATCTCAGAAGCTTAGGAACATGGCTGCTGCTATAAATGTAAAATAAATCTAATCTTGAAGCAAGGAATTTCACTTTCGCACCATCATACTGGGAAAAGCTAAAATAAGAAACCCAGTTACTGCAGTTTAAGTTCATCCACTGGTTAGGCTAATAATTACACTATGCCATGGTACTTCTCATTGTACTGCCACGAGTTATTTCAAGAGTGCAAATATATACACTTTGGGCTGATTATACTCAGGGAGATTACAAAATGCACAAAGGAGAGCCATGAACGTACATTTGGGATGTGAGTTTCACTTACTACAATCTAACCTTAAATCTTGCACAAAATGGTTTCTCGTGATCATTAACAGGTTTCAACTTCCCCACTCAGGACACTTGCTATTTTGAATGCGATCAAGATGGTGTTACTACGGGTGAATGCATCTGTCAGTTGGAGGTGGGACTCTGTTTTTTGAAGATCTGTATAGTTTATGGTCATTAATAATGCATATCTCTTGCGAATGCCAGATACACTAGGAACCGAATTTGTTATTAATCGTTTTGCCCTTATTATTATTATTATTTTTAAACCAAGAGTTCATATTTGTATGGTGTAATTGGTTCTCAGATGTATATGGTTACTTTTCCAGGCAGGTCCCATTCAAATACTGATTCTGGCTGTGTGAAGCTCGAATGCTTCAGTACAGCCCTTGCTCAGATGTTAAGGGTTTTAAGTCTCCGTTAGTATTTAACTTATTTGAGAACTCAAAAATAGTGTTCCATATGAATTTGCACTGTAAAAATTAATGAAACATTGAACTATTGTTTGCAGCTTTGTGGAATTCATTTAAAAACAGCAGAGATTCAGTCTACAACTCTGCATTGTATAACTGTGATGGCAAATGTATCTCTGGTTATAACTTGGTGCTTGTTCGTAGAAGAGAAGAGGGTATTCAGGCAGCGAATGCTTAGAAAGATCAGAGGATTGTTTGTCTAACACGTTACTTGATTGGTGAGTGACACTTCTTACTTCCAAGTTAGGTTACTGTTGGCCCACCAAATATTGAAGAACGAAAGACGGTAAGACATACTACTACTTGACAGTAGGTTCTATGCTTGGAAAAAGGGCCTATATGCTTTACCTGCTAAAGTCAAAAGTCACCTACGACATACATGAAATAACCTCCATTACAGGGTGACAAATAATACTATCTTATATCAAGACGTCTACATTATTAATTTGTAACAGCATAGAAGATACCCCGCCAAAAAAAAAAAAAAGAAAAAAAAAAGAGCACAATATCAAGAGCAAATCCTGTTTGGTTGATGTCTGTACCCTGCATGTCCCACTTTCACTGACCTAGGTTATAGAAGCACAATCAAGAGTGAATATTCAAACATTTGATTGACTTTAGTTCTTTCTCTTGAGGTTCTTATTTTACGAAATGAGGCATTGATATGATAGGTTAGAAGGGTTTTTAAAGCTTTCGCAAATGATTAAAGAAATGAGGTGAAGTAGGAAGCATGGCATCACCAACTCTGCAAGCCAAGCTAAACTCCAGAGGGTCAAACAGTGTGACACCATCATCCCCAACCCCTTTGGCCCTCTACAAATCCTGTGTTGCTATCTTATTCTCATGCACCTAACACGCGGGGGAAGACTTTTTGTTTACAAGTCAAAATTTCCATGTGCCATTGACTTGTTGCATTTATATTCCCTGCAACGTACTTGAGGGTTACGGATATTACTCTGGAATGTGAATATGAAATTGCAGAGGAACACCACTCGGCGGATTCTGGTTTGTTACATTCGAATTCTCGGAAATCCCCCTCTTTTTCTTACCTGTTGATTTTCAAAAGATTTATCCGGGCCAACCACTCTGTTTGTTCTTTTTTCTTTGTCCAAAGGTCAGAAAGAGTCTCAATTTCTAGTACGCGAAATTATGGTTCCATGACTACTTAAACAAGTGTGATGCAATCTGGGGGCAATTTTCCATAGAAATTAAGCATGCATGCTCTTAAGGTTAGTAACCCACTGCTGTAACCGTACAAGAAATTAATCAAAAAGCAAAGGAAAGGAAAGAGCTCAGTCGCAATGCTCCACATCATAAAAAGGTAAGACTAATTATCTCTAGAAATCAGTCTTCCATTGACTCCATTGGATGAATTTTTGCAAGGAAAAACAACCGAATTCCAAACTAGACGTAATTTCTCGAAGAGGTCAGGTCGTGTCAATTCCTTGGATGCTCAAAACGAATCGGTTTGTACCCCAAAACAAGAATAAAGAAAGCTACAAGGGTTGACAATTGTTGGTAACTTGGGGCAGGGGTTAAAGATTGGAGACCCATTGGAGATCAGCAGCTGCGTCCGTTTGTTGCGTCGTTTCCCCTTTATTTTACAAAAAAGGTGCATGAAATATAATGACAGCTTCATTGATTAACTTGAACAAGTCGCTAATACATATTGTTAAGAGATGAGCAAGTCATTACTGTCTTATTCCAAACAAGAATTATCTACGAATTGCATGCATCATTGTCAACTTGGCTGACGATGATATTAACGAACTTTCTTTCCTCTTTCCGGAAATTTTATCCTTGGGAAATTCAATCTTATCTTCATCTTTGGTAGTAGAAAAGATGATTCTAGAAATCAATAAAGTAACATGATCATCATATAATATGATAATAGTTAGTTTCTTTCAACTTAGTTATTGTCCTTAACATCACGCCTAACATTCAGCCTATTGGTGTCCGTTTTTCAAACACCGAGACAAAGCAATAGTATTACTTTCAAGTTTAACCCCTTCAATTGCGTTAGACATGGATTTAAATATCTTTCACATTAAGACACGTGGCACTATCTTTACCATCCTTGTGGTATTATGCTTACCATTGAAGCATCACACCTATATATTCACACCAATATTAATAGGTAAAAGTGTTCATTATGAATGGATAATGGATTTATATTTGATGCAATATTATTCAATAATAACTCTATATTATTACTTAATTTCGTATATATGTCACTTCATAAATGTGTAAAAGTAAAAGTTTAAAATTTTTTATAATAATTTTTTCAAAATTATGAGTATTTACTTTTCAGTGTTCTCAACTTTAAATTTATTTATTAATAAGGTGATAACATTAAGTTCACTACTTAAGTGTATAGAATTTATATATTGACAATGCATCAAATATAAACCCCATTGTAAATAGGACTCTTTCTCTAAGTTACATTACTTCTCTCTCCACCCTTATTACTCTCCTTAAACAATTACTGACTCGATTTCGGGTTTAGTACTTAACATTTGATATTTTCATTGAAAGTTGACCTCAAGGATTCCTTTTTACAAAAGAGCACTCACAGACAACACAAGAGTACCATGACCAAGGTGCCAACGTGGATGTCATCCTAAACAAATGAATTTGAGCACTCCTAATATCCAAAATGGTCAAGATCTAACGATGATGGAAGACATTACAAAACTTCAAGAAGAGGTGAGAAACTTGACACAAGTACAAAATTTGTTATTATTCACCAAATTGATGTGAATCAAAATGCCCTTCACCAAATTTATGTAAATCAAAACTATCATTACCAAACTTATGCAAATTTAGGTGGCTTTTACAAAACGATGTGAACGAGGAAGAGAGTGTGAATAAGATGTGGAAATCCAAAAATGTGACGGGAAAGAGCCAGCAAGCCATGCATCATAATACAAAATGAAAATAAAAACAAAATACAAATGCAGCGAAAATAAACAATCAAAATTGGCCTTTCCACCCAAGATCACTTGCATGGTTTTTGGATGATGTGCTATATAATAAAACACATATGTGATCTAGTCATTACCTTGGGGACAAAGGAAAGTTTGATTCCTTGTTCAAACTCTACCAAATAGCCCCTTTGGGAGACCTCACACCAAGCTCAGTCGTAGTAAACCAAAGTTGTCCAAGATATTCTTATACAGCTTCTGACGAAAGTCCACACTGTGAATGGAGAAATTCCTACAAGAGAGTGGGATTGCCAAGCCTTCAACATTTTAGCTAGGATGTGTACTGAACACTTTTCCCTTCCTTTCACCCTAGTTGAATAGCATTAGAGACAATTACAAAAAGCGACAACACTACACACTAGTAAAGAGTGGTAGCTAGGTTACTTCTTACGAGTAGCTTAAGCAAGGTATTTATATCTTGGACCAATTCTAACCTTAATGACTCTTTTTACCTAATTGTTAATTGGTCCTTGTACTTAATTAAATCTTTTAATTAAGTTTAAAAGAAGTTCATAACTTTTAGTTTTGATTTGGTCTAACTTAATCACCTTTCTCAATTTAATCTCAATATTCACTTTTTGTGTGTGACCCATTAAGCTTCCAACATGTTGGCAATGACCTTAAAATGTAATCCATGAATTAAATTTAGAATTAGATAAATTTAAACTACTTTGAATTTATCATTGATCATGTAAATCACTTTATGATTATTGACTAGGAACGAGATCTAGCTACCTAAATGTTAAAAGAGCCAAAATGGTTTGACTCAACCTTTCAGTGATCAGTTTCTTAATGCCATTCAATCCTTTCAACATGTACCTTAGAAAGCTTAGAAGCATGGTGCAGTGTCAACTCCTAAACCTTCCATGTTAGTTATGGCATTGATTAGATATCATGGATTATAAGAAACTCATTTCCTAAAATCCATTATGCTCTGGCCAGAGTCTTCACAGAGGCGAACTTAAGGCATGAACAATTGATATACATATTCTTAATCACTGGAAGTGATGAATTCTATCTTAACCACTTATTTGCCTTCATATGTCTCATTCTATACCTAAAAGCATATTGTTTAAGCATCCGTGGTAGGACTCATAAGGATGAAATCAAACTATTGTAACCTTTGTATAAGACAAATTGGTGTTTTAAGTTTGAGGATCACTTGCATAACTCTCACATGAACATATATTTCATTGACACTATAGTGAAGTGCCAAATGGAATCTTCATGTCAAATCATATTTAGTGAACTTGTTTCTAGAACAAGCACTTAAATTCTAGTTCCAAGTATCCCTATACTTTAATCTATGAGATCGATTACTTATTTTTGAAGTAAGAAACATAAAATATACTAGTTTTTAAGCATCATTGATGTCCAATCTTAATGATACATCTAGAAATAGTTTAGAGATTATATTTTGATGCATAGGAATCTTATAATTGTAATACTTTACAATTCTCTTACAAGATATGTTAGTCTTATGGACTGCATCCAACAGATTTATAAGCATAGTTTTATTGATGAAAGAAAACTTCTAATCATTTAGTATGAATAATATGATTGCATGATTGGATTTAAGTTTTAACCAAACCAATTTGCTACAGGTCTCATTCCAACAAGATGCAACCAGTTGAAAACTATTACCATTGAAGTAGGCTCTCAACAACCCATTAGTTCACAAAGTTAATGCATTCTCACTAGCACCTAAAAACCAAAACTTGTATAAGAAAAATTTGAATAGTCCTAATATGAGAAATTGTAATTGTAACACATATTGGATTTAAAGGATAAGTTGGAAAAGAATAGAGAAGTTGATTAGATGGACAAGAGGTTAGAAGATGTCAAAAGAAAAATGGAAGTAATGGAAAAGAAAGTAATTTCAAACAATTCTCATTTCTTCGAGTTATAAATATTGAACAACTCCCTTTTACCAAAGCGATAGACAAAATCTTACCTCTAGAAGGTTTTAAACTTCTAACCACAAAGACTTATGATGGCATGTCAAATTCGATTAATCACTTGGAAATGTTATGAACTAACATGTTTATCCAAAAGGTGAATGATGCCATCATGTGCAAGACTTTCCTAGCAACTCTAAAGTAGGTTGCTAGATCTTGATATTCCTTATTTAAACCAAGGTTTATAAGTAGTTTTAAAGAATTGGTATATCACTTTGTAAGCTACATACATTAAAAGAAAATCTCCATTAGCCTCATGTTAATGAAGAAACAAGAAAGGGAATCTTTAAAGAACTACATCGAGAGGTTCAATGTTGAATCACCTCAGTTTAGGGATTTAGATCACATCAATTTTTGTGAAAAGATGCAAAAATTTTGGCATTCAATTCACTTTGATTAAAGACATCTTCAAAAGTGACCCAAAAATATATGCATATTGTCAATGAAGTTATGTTTTAATGGCAAAAAGAGGCATGAAACCTTGAAATATTGGGTCCGAATCTTATGATATGTGGGTTTGGACTAAGTTAGAATTATCCAAATATATGTTAATTGGTTTTCCTATTTGATTTATAATTTAATCAATTTTTTATATAAAATATAGCACTTGATTATAATTGATGATACGATAAAAGAAATAACAGAAATCCTAGGTTATAAGGTGAGTTCTTTACCTTTAAAATATTTAGGACTCCTTATAGGAGGAGTGCTAAAACTTGGGAACCGATAGTGAGAAAGTTCAAAGAACAATTGACAGGATGGCAAAAGATATATCAAGCTTTTGAAGGTAGAATATTCTTATTAGTTCGGTATTGAATTCTCTATCTATATACTACTTTTCTATTTTTCAAGCACTTAAAGGTGTAATATCACAATAGAGAAATTAAGGAGAGCTTTTCTTTAGGGTGGAAGTGAGAATAATAAAAAGCTTGCCAAAGTTAAATAAAAGGTAGTGTGCTCAATTTAGAAGAATGGTTCGTTTATTAGGGCTTTCAAATTTGGTGTAGAGGAATATTGCTTTGCTTTGTAAATGGTGGTGGAAATATGAAAATGACCCGAATGCCTTTTGGAAGAAGTTGATCTGTGAGTAATATAAAGAAGGAATTCTGTGTTGGTTACCATTAGATAATCAGATAGGGAAAA